GGAAATTCTCCAATTTCAATTGATCGGTTTATTATAAAAGAAAGAGGTTGACTCACAGAAATTCTCATATTTTTCACAAGTTTTGTTGATATGCAGTCAATACCTACCGAGTTCGTATTTTTGAGTGACAGAATAATTTCACAAATGTCACTTGGTTGAACGGGTGAAAAGAAAAATGTATGATGCACGGACATGGTTGTAAAATCTGTGAACGAAGATAGACCGAAATGTTTTTCAATCTCACATTTTGCTACTGTTGAGAAGTATTTTCCAAATACATTCACAATTTTATTTTTGTCATTTATATATTCACCGTTCAATTCAATCTCCCAGTTCAACTTTTTTTTTGACCTGCCTGTTTTGTTTCTAACTAAATTCCATATTTCTTTTTGCTTTTGTCGCTGATTCTTGTTATCAAGATTCAGTTGGTAGAATGAATACTTTGCATCATGTAATTTACGCTTGTATATACCCTTCAAATAATTGTAATATGTCCGAATATTCATATCATCACTACTGCTAACAAGCCAAAATAAATTTTTGAGACTATTTCCCATGTGAATGATATCGGCGGTCACCCATTGTTTTCGTCGCCATAACTCGGAAATTTCTGATTTTCTCACAGTTGGACACGTTGAGTCAATATAAAATAATATTATATTTACATATGAGTCATAGGCCGAATTGATATCGTTGAAACTCTCATAAACACTTTCATAATTTTCATTTTGTCCCATGTAATGTGTTCCATACATTTGCTATTTGCTGACTGCAAACGATACGTTATTAGAATAGTATTTTAGTTCTCTATCCAAGGAATATACATTCATCGTTTACTTGTTTTCATTGCAGAGTTCATAATGAATAGATTAGATAGATAGATAGACTTTTATTGATCATACATCAATTTACATTGGATTGTACAGCACTGAAAGTAGGTAGTACACAGTACACTGTTTATTGTCAGTCCGAATTGAATTCTGAAATACTATAAAATTCCCTAGACAAAGCCGTAGCTAGGGGGGGATCAAGGGGGATTGCTCCCGAAAGTTCTACAAGCAACGGCCATCCAAAAATTATATCAAATACAACGATTGGCTTGTTTAAACATCACAGGAGTCATGAGAATAACACCCCACTGGACATGTGAAGGTTGTGTTAATGGCCATGTTACTGTTACCAACATCCAATATAATATACAGGCTGATTCACGGTGGATGGCACATTAGACGTTTCTGGTGAACCAGACAACGGATCACTTTGAGAATTCATTGGAGGGCATATTCGGACATTCTCTAGCCAACTAAAATATTTTCGACAATGCGGTGTTATCTAATGTGCCATCCACCGTGAATCAGCCTGTATTAGAAAAAGCATTCATGGACTCATTTCCTGAAAAAAGATATGATATTAGAAACAAAAAAGCAAATAATACATGGTTTAATCTGATAATCTCAAACATCAACTCAACAGTTTGAAAAAAATATACAAAAAAACTATTGCTGTGCTAAAAGGGAATGTAATGATAATCGTATAAAAAAATCGAAAAATCAAAATAAATGCATGTGGAATATCATAAAGGAAAACAAAAGAGAACAACACAGTAAAGACCCACCAGTCTCACCAAACACCTTCAATGCCTACTTTGTAAATAATGCAAAAAACCTAATCCAAAAAAATAGATAGTTCAAACTTGGACCCTCTCAAAAAACTAAGCAATTTGAATTTTGAAAATTTTACTCTAACAGAATTTACCTACAATGAAGTTAGAGATGTAATGAAGTCATTAAAAAATAAACCCAGCAGAGATATATATGGACTGAATGTTGAAGTGATCAAATGCATATCAAATTTAATTCTAATCCCTCTAACTAAACTGCTGAACCAGTGTAGAAAAGAGTGCATTTTCCCCTCCGTCTTGAAAGAAGCATTAGTAATACCTATCTTCAAAAGTGGAAATCCAAATGATCCTACAAACTACAGACCAATATCTCTGCTACCAATAATATCCAAAATATTTGAAAAATGTATAGCTCTACAAATTGTACATCATTTTGAGAATTATGACATATTCACAGACTGCCAGTATGGATTCCGAAAAGGTAGAAACACTGAAATGGCAATACTAGATCTTAACAACAAAATAACAACAACTTTTGAAAATCTAGAGTATTCAGAAATAACTTGTTGTGATCTAAGCAAAGCATTTGATTGTGTATCACATGAAATTCTCTTGAATAAATTGAAACTATATAATTTTTCTGACAACACTATAAAGTTGATCAACTCATACTTAAAAAATCGATTTCAAACTGTGAAAGTGGGCAATTCTCTATCAACAAGAAAAAAAATTACAACTGGCGTACCGCAAGGATCTATTTTGGGACCTCTACTATTTATAATTTTCATTAATGACCTACCATATTGGGAGAACCCGTTATCATATATTTTATATGCAGACAATCCAAACAAATGCTAAAACTCTAGATGAGGTACTTATATTATCCTTCGAAACACAGTCACAAACTGAAAGGTGGTTCAATGCAAACGAATTATATCTGAATAAAAACAAAACCCAAAACATGGTATTCACCCTAAGAAATACGGAAAATTACTAAAATTCGCAAAGTAGTGTGAAATTTTTTGGAATTCATTTTGATAGTGAGTTAAAATGGAATCATCATATAAATGAACTACCAAAAAAGCTAATGAGAAATCTATTTTTACTAAGAAACCCATCCAGACAAGTTTCAAAAGCAACTCTTCGAACGGCATATTTTTCCTTGTATAAATCCATCATTTCTTATGGTATTGTCGCCTGGGGACATGCAACCGATTGTGATAGAATATTCCGACACCAAAGGAAAGCCATTAGAATATTAGACAATATCGGCTACAGAGATGAATGTCGAAATTCATTCAGTACATTAAAAATACTAACCACATAGGTAATTATTTCTTTGCTTTGTAGTTCTCTTTCAATATAAAAGGAACATAATAAGTATTTTGTAACTTTTTCTGTGTTTTTTGAAGTACTGTATTAGGCATATTAAGAAAATGTAATCAGTTTTACCATTGACACCAGGTAGCAACACCTACTATAACAGTTTTTACGTAATTACCTATGTGTTTAAATAAATAAAAATATTATTTTGGTACTCCTCTGCAGAGTTGGTAAGAGGATTATCCGTTGGTCACTTCAAATGCGACGTTGCTAATGAATCACCTTCAATTGGAAATTGTTATAGTATAGCACTAGGTAGCAGACTCAACTTGACATCTCGACAGTGAATGAGAACGATTGAAAATTTTGGGTCTCAAATCTTTCAAGCTGGAAATGACAAGGTTGAAAAAAATTCAAAATATATTTCTCTCAAAATGAAAACAGATTGGTGTCTGGGCGATTTTTTGCCATCTATGAGAAGTCGGTCTGGTTTTGTTTTCATTGACCCACCCTGTATATGCCACTGTCGTTTACTTAACTACATAACTTCGTTAACAGCAAAATTTTGGATTTTTCAAAGATATCCGGAAAATATGTGTCGTGTCTCTCAATGAAATATTTACCGTCAATAAACCAAATCCAAGAAGTGACCCAACATATTGCGCTGCAATATATATTAAACACCTTTTCCACTCCATATCTCCGAATATAAGGAATGCAATTGACACCGCTGGATTCATGTGGCATGAGCTGATGTGACTAAAAATCTGCACGGGAATCATCACGGCGAATCCAAATGCAAACGCTGGTAATAAGGGCCCGAGATTGAAACTGAATATACATCCCATACAACCTGAAGCAGAAAACATATTTTTTGGCTACAGATTGAATGACACCTTTAAATAATATAATGTGAATCAATAAAGAATTGTATGTGAAATCCAAATTTGAAATAATTGTAATGGCGTTTGGCATTGGGCATTATTAATGAAACTAAAGGAGATTCTCAGAATTGAAAAGTGGGAGGACAAGAAAATCCTCATTAACAAAAATGTAGAGGAAAAAGGTTTTCTTCCAAAAAATGTGGAAGACACCATACTTAAACACACGTAACACACTTAAACAATTGTAAGTGGTATTTTTTCATCCTGTTAATACATTCAAAATTGTGTCAAAAGTGTCATTTCACGAGTCTTTATTACTAGAAGTGAGTTCCTGAAAAAGTAGAATCAATGAACGTTTCGTCTTTTGAGAGGCCATATTTCCGAAAGTAGACCGGCCCCCAATTTTTTGATTGAAGATTCGTGATAAGCGGGCAAAAATACGTAGTCTGAAAAACTTTCAAAATATATCGCGAGCCGTTATGAAAAATATTTACCCTAATTCCCTTACTAATTCCAAACTACTTTGCTTGATAATTTGAATTCATCTTTTAAATCATATCAAAAATATAGTTATAAAGCTTTGATATTGTCAATATATGAACAGGCATTTTTTTAAAACTAGACGAAAGTTAGCAAAATTAGTAACTGTACTTACTCACCTAAAAATTCTAGAATAGCTGTGCCCAGTAATTCTGTAATGAATGATATCACGTAATGAGTTTGTTTCTTTTGGGTCTCCTCCATGCAAAATTATGAATCTTTCGCCAAAATTGAAATGTTGGACAAATATATCAGTTTTTGATGCGAATGTCAAATAACATTTCATTTATGTTGCTATGATACCCACACTCAACGTGGTGATGATAATAATTTCGAAATTAGGAGGAAAATAATCTAAAGGATCACATTTTTTCGTAAATTTGACGTATTGTAAACTTGATTTATGTTATTTCTCTCAAGTCTAGTTTGTGAATATTGCTAATCATATGCTTTTAAGAAGTATTAATATGGATAACATTGTCAATAAGGTAAACTCCACTCAAATTCCTCTGCTTAATTTGCATTATTCATACAACTGAAAATGTGAAAATGTCAGTGGTGGACTAAGGAGGGCTCTTATTTTAAAAATGTTGAAAAGTCTATTTTAGTTATGGTGAAATTTATTAAAACTGCATACACGTGACTCATGAATCAGGAAAGGAATCGTATTTCGTGTAAAAAATGTTTTATTTGTAAATTGCAAAGCGCTTTCGGCTGTTACGCCATCATCAGTGCGATACCTGCAAGTAAGTAATATTCAATGATATTTATTTTAATTTAAGATTGAACTTTAAATTTTTTTAATTATTGTAGAAATACTTACTTGTCAAGTATATACAAGAAGATCCTGCTGTCTTAAGGTATAACAACTTTAGTAAAAATCACTCTGAGTGGACATGAACATGAATATCACAATAAGCAAACTTTTACACTAAATGTGAATATTTTTAAAATCACAACACAACAAAGTTTTTGTTTCGGGGTTGAAATTAGATGATTTTAATGTATTTCCACGTGTTAAAACCGAAAGTGACCATAAAAATTATATATTAGCTCTTGTTTTCAAGATATAGTATCATTATATTATATATATGTATATTGAGTTTTCAACAAATGAAATATTTCATCACCAACAGTTGGTACACATGTTTGTTTACATAACACCCCTCTCATCAGCTGTTCTTAAGTAGTAAACATAACCTATGTGAGTTTGTCAATTGTACG